ACATATGTAGCCTATATATATATATATATATATATATGTATATATGTACAGCCTAATGTTTTTTTAAATACCTTTAAAATTGTAGGCCTATGATTTGAAAGGGTGGTTTTATTTTCTCAATATAATAACTTACGCTATATTAGGCCTAACTTAAGGTTGAAAACGTATTTTTAATTTCAGACTAAACAACGTGGATGCAACGTTGTGTTAACGCTAATTTCTGACATAACCTAACCACTACTTTTAGAACGTTTGCGGATGTCCTGTTTTCTGAGAATAGGTTTCCAGAATTAGAATTCACAAAAAAGATAATGAATAGAGTAGAGAGCACGGTAACGCATTTTTCTAGTTTTCCAGAATTCCAGAAAGATAAGCCTACGTCTCACTTTCCGAAAAACGCTAGCATTCTAGTATCCAGGGTAAAATGTGGACAAATTTCAATATTGTTTATGAAATGTGTTAGAATGATTTATCGGTTGGATTTAGTGAAGACACGGGTGGTGCAAGTGAAGTGAAAGTTCGTTGTTCACGCGTTCGTTGTTTATGAGCAATTTAATGCGACAAACTCCGTTCGATCCCCTCCGATAATTAAAAGTGATTGTTTCCGGCTAACGGCATCGGTAAGCGGAACGTCTGGAACAGGTTGGTTCCTCTACTACGGTAACAATTTGGAAACCGGATTTACCAAATCCAGGAGAAGTAGTCTACCGTCGCGTATTTAAAGAGTGAAACTATTGAGAGTCCAACATTCTTTAAAAACCAGAGCCACGTTTCGCATTTTTTTATAGTCACACCACTGCTGCATCAAACATTTCCAGACCACTGCCGAGTACAGATCAGGATGAACAAAACGATAACTTCTGTTTTTCTGTTGCTGGTGGCTATCTACAGGTGAGTAAGTTCATCAGAACTTTCCATCAAATTAGGCCTAGTCATGTCATCATCTTGTGTTTGAATACGACACATATAAATGTAAAATCTCATTATTTTGTAAAAATATTTTTTTTATGAAAAATATAAATATAGATTTAATTATTTTATTTAGAAAACCGCGAAGTAAATGTATAATTCTGTTGGTGTTTAACCAAACAAGGGAGTTGACTGAACACATTGAATATTTCGGTTGCTTGATTATATGTTTTTGTTTAACCCATTAGCACCAATAACTGAAACATCAGTAATAGGCCTACATTCTTATTATTAGTGTAATCATTTGCATATAGGTCTAGAATAAAAGGATGTTTGTAGTAGAATGACAAAATGGTAAAAATAACTTTTTTGATCTGTGTATTGTAGAAACTATGAACTTATGATTATTTGAAATACGCTAGGCCTACTCAATAGATAGATAAGTGGAGAAAATTTTGCCGTTGGTAGAGAATTATTTAAAAAGAAAACAAGTGCATAGACTCAAATTATCCCTCTTGGGTTTGGGTTGCAGTGCGCCATCACTAATCCTCATAAAAATACAGTATACCAATGTGCAAACAAATAAACGTTTTACCGACTATATTCTCTGTCACAGCAAAAAAAAAAAAAAAAAAAAAAAAAAAAAGAAAAAGAAAAGAAAAAGTTGACCGTTGATTTGTTTTGCTATTCATGTAATCGTTTCTGTTTAGTCCTAACTTAATTGTGATCCTTTAATTATTTAACACCGTAAAGCTAGCTAAATATTTGAAAAGCTATAATTTTTATGTAACCGGAGAGCTAAAGGACACCTGAGAAATATAGGAAAAGTAAACCGTGTTATTCCAGGGCATTTTGTCATCTTGGTGGGCCTCAAAAAGTAGCTGTATGATTAAAAGATAAACTCCCCTTCGCAGCCATGCGCATGCACCTGTCAAATGTAAACAGTATTACACACATTGCCATAATATTTATTGCAATAACTGACATCTTATTACGATGCTTGGACATAAATTCTGAGCCATGTTAACATTCCATGGTTTATTATGTAGACATAGGTGTACAGTAGCCCTACATTACTTCTAAATCAATACTAGTGATCTTTATGAACACTGAGCGAGACCTTTATAGCCAGGCTCCGGAGGAACACAAATTGTTGATATGTTGTAGTAAAACTGACTTTTATAAGATACAACATTTTCGAAAATATTTAAAATCAGCTGGAAAAGGGTGGTTATGCCCCTTTCCTCCCAGTCTGTATCTCATTTGCCGCTCCTGCGGTTCACTTTTTTGTGTCAGTTCTACAACACATCCTGGCTTTAAGATTCTTTCAAACGAATTCACATTTTGCCTGAATTTCATTCTTAGATTCTTCCATGGAAACGTCATCACTGCACGAAGCTCTTAGTGCTTATCTGTTAAGTTACTAAGTTGTATCTCACTCGCTATAAAGAGATTAAAAGAATGTGACGTATACATTCGTGGAAATACCACTTTAAAGGTCCCACTCTACCACGCGGTCAAGTTTATATTTCAAATACCATTCGCTAACTTGTATCTTTCAATGGAAGATTTATACGACGCACCGGAGGGGCTTATGATTTAGGCCTACCAACTCTTGTAAATCAAATTTAGAGTCAAAATTACACACAGTTGTTCTAGTAGGCAAACAGGCCTACTTTAAACTTAATGATACCATATTATGCCAAATCTCTCTTGCCAGTTGCAACACATATGTGGTTCTATATTTACACATTACAGAATAAGCCGTATGTCTCACGCACTTCGCGGCTAGATAAACAGAGAGCATCTTCGCTCAGTCTGCTAAACCATGGAGGAAAGTTTAGTATAGCCACGGTGTGGGTGCTGAACCGTGGAGATATCTAGGTCCCCGGTTGAATTCCCACCGCTACTCTCCTTGTATTTCAGCTGGAGGGCTGAAATGCAAGTTACGATAGCGCATCGTCTTTTGAATGAGACGTTTAAGTGATTGAAATTGAAACAATGATGAAGTGTGTAGTAACCCTCCTCCCTATAGTTTCTACTCTGTGCAGCAGCATAATTATTCCCAGAGTATAATCATTGATGATGCATAAAAAATAGGCTTCTACTAAACTCTAAAGCCATGGACACGCCTCTTACATAAAAATATATTGTAAACAAATTCTATAAAAAAATAGTTTATAAATCATGGTGAAAATTCTTTAATTTAACAACACTAGTATTTTTGTCTGTGAATCAGCTGCGAGATAGTTCTCAAATCAATTAGGGAATATGATTATCAATGTTGATTCTTGATTGGCTCAAATGCAACGGTGACCAAAGCATGCTGCGAGGTTAAACCAATCAGAAGAAAGCACACATAACTTGGAGGACTACATACGTTGTAGTGCGAAGTAGAGTAAACTGGTGTTTAATGTTGATGGTTTCTAGCTAATTTTTTCGTTCAAATAATAGCATTGATTTTGGATATAGGCCTATTATTAAAATGGCCAAGTATTTGGTACTTATTTTGACGTTGTCTGTTTACCTAGCATGGTAAGTTGATGAATATATTTTTGAAATGATGTAGGCTGCGGACTGATTGATTGATATTAAAATATGCCTTTTTATCATAGATAGGCTTGGCGATTGGAACGAACATACAAAACCTACTAATGAATACCGTATCGTACTCTCTGTGGAAACTTTAATATAAATCAAAATTTGAAAAAAATGCAAATAAAATGATTTCAGCGCAAGTTCAAATATTGCCGGCGTTACAGGCGGTAGACAGCCGAGTCCTAACTGACGCCAGACGTTACAGGCTCACTGGGCAGTCTTACTCATTCACTGATTCTAACATATTCTTAACGTCTGTTTTCAATGCATAGGCCTATATCGTCTGACTGGCTTCAATTTATTTGTCAATGAGGTTGCTTTTTAGTATTAGTTTTTAATCTTTGGTTTGGCGAAGGATTATAGCTGTGTATTTTCCTTTTTATTTCGATGTTTTTTTTTTTTAAATAAGGACATTCCTTGTGTCATTTCTTAATTGGACCTACGTTTAAGTGGTCTGCAAGTGTCTAATACCTGATAATAGTATGGAGTTGACCATTTTAAAGAAGGCTATACCGTACTATTTGATGGTCACATATGTCAAAAACCATGGAGATGTGTGCCTTTTCTCTATTCCCTCACGTTTTTCTTTCAGTACATGTTATGGTGCATCGTCTTTTAGAAAGGACGATTGGGCCGTGGTCCTACGTACAAGGTTCATATTCACATCGAGAAAAGAACAAGGAATTGTTCATCAGATCGATAATAGGCTTGATGCTGCACACCGGCTGCCGGTGGTCTTAAGGAACCGGACAAAATGTACCCAGTTAGGCCAATATGAAATATTAAATTATGCTTATAACTTTTGATTTATTCATATATTGACAAAGGAAATACAGTAGTCTTGATAGATAGCGTATTTGCTATTGTAGTCCACATTCAGGATTCGCCATGAGCATGTCTGTAAACGCCAAGAGCATGTATTTTCATTTAAGAACTTTAACCCTTTTTTAGGTCTCTATAATGTTTGAGAAAATTAAAACCCATAAAACGGGCAAACGACATAACGGTGATTGCAGCAATCTATAAATTACTGATTAAGATAAAGGCGACAACTTAACGGAAGAAGAAAATGTAATTACTTCACTAACGACGTGGTTCACCTCCAAATATGGGAAGTCAGTCCTTTCAAAGTGACCTCCAAAAGAGCTAAACTTTTAAAATCTATATCTACAGTACGGTATAGCAAAGGCGTGGTTACCCTTTCCAAATAAGGGAATTCTATCGTCTGCCTGGGCCTCTTCCCCATACAACTTTATTTTATATGATTGACGTTTTTCTTATTGCCGCAAGTATCTGTCTTTGTTCGCGTCTTCAAAACGCATGCAATACAAGTGGCATATTAGTATGCATAATGTGAACATATTACTGTTCTCTGTATGTTTTGACATCACCGTCACATTAACTTCAAAATATTTTCACTGACTCATCGGGTTAACAAAGTAAACAAGATGTAATCTCCAAATGGGGTCGTGCCAATAACACATGCGTTCAATCTGTATTACAAATCAGGTAAAATTGGAGTTACGGAAATGCTCGTATTCCATAGAGAAACCATTTAGGCAAGATCGTTGGTAAATTAGTACATGAGTCAAATATCTGGGGATGAGTTGAAACATTACGGAGCGATGATCAAAACCAGTGGGAGGTGGTCGGAGTTTTAAGGTCTGTGACCGTGATACTCCGCGAACGAAACGTGATATAACAAGATGGGTATATCAAGATATGTTGTTCATAGCTTGCTTAATATGACTTGGCATGGTCCCAATACCTAGTTGAATATCATATATCACAGATTTAATGAAACCAGCAATCATCGCGCAATAAAACAACTGAGAGGGCTTCAATAAGGCCCTTTAACTTTTGATTGCGATCAATTATCTCATTAGAAAGCGTAGCAGCTTCCGACATTTTTTTCGTTCACGCTGTGGGAAAGTGTTCAATATATTATGACAACGGTTTAGAAAATAATCTCCACCGTGATCTTTATCTCTTTTATTATTATGAGTTGAGAATTTTGAAATGTCTTAAGAGATTTTTTCTTGTTAAGTGGTTAATCGATGCACAGATACAGAAGGTTTCCTTTTAGTACCACTATAACCTATATCATATCACAGTAAGTAGGCCTATATCAAGGGTTTGACAAATTTCATATCGGCTCTTGCAAAAAAAACCCCAAAAAAACAAAAACAAAAACAAAAAAAACAAAAACAATAAAGGAAAAACAAAAATTCAGTTTGTCCTGTATCAATGAATAAATCTCTTTCCCGCCTTTTGATAACCGTTTGCGTAAAATATGTTTAATGGACGTGTTTTTCGTCTTTAAAAAAAGAAGCTTATTCTTATTAAAGTAATTAGTTCGTTGTAGTTAGGACATTGTGTGAGCTAGTTATTTTGTGGTCAAAGTAAGTGCGTGAACTAAATAAAAATAAGTAGGCATTTTTGCATACTGGTATCGTTAAATTTAATAGGCGTCTGGAAAAAAATGTGCTGCATTTTACAGACAGTAAAAGACTGTCATCTCAGGAGGAGGGGCGTAATAATGCGGAGGATTTACAATTGAATATGGAACGAGTTACAGTCAAACGATAATGCTAATACTAAAAAAGCCTATAATATTGATTATAATAGGATTTCACATAAAATAATAGTAACAACACTTTAAATAATTAGGTCGTTTCCTTTTAATCATCAATTTCGAATCTCAAAAAATATTCTAAATCACTTATTTTCTCAATTTGTATACACATCATTCATATTTTTCTTAATTTATATTTTTGTATTGTATTTTTATATTCTTACTATCATGTAAAGGCTTTTGAACATCAATATTCATGAAAAGGGTGCTAAATTTGGTGGTAAATAGGCCTAACTAAATGAACCTTTCGGATGTGAGAAGTTGAAACATTACAAAGAGCAACCAAGGCCCCGTTCAATAAATATATTTTGCCATAAACCTAAACTAAAAATAATTTTGGTGTCCACGTTGGCCCTGCTTTAATTGAATTGATAATAAAATAAATAATCACCGCGGACATGATATAATTTCACGCTTCATCTCGTAATCAGATTGAATTCCATTTTATTTAGTATGCCAAAATACGTTTCGTTTTCAACTTATAACCCCAATTTTTATCAATCCCAAGACGAGTATTCTGACACGTCTTTATCAGCTTTTTGTGATTTATTAAAATCCTCAAGGTGAGTTATGAACTATTTAATATAACCACAGATACTAAAGTTTACGTGATGTAACCTTGCAGAAAAGAGGGAGAAATCTAATCTGACGTGTTTAAAGTATGCCCACAAATGATTACTTTACTTATGACAGATTTAGCTATTAATCATCCTCAGAGTACTACAAACACTCATCTGACCTTGAATTATAAACTGTGACAAAACTTCTTTTCCGTAAAGTGCGACAATGAAAATGTAGTACGACGACAACAGGCTACAAATCTCGGCGATAAATACTGTAATATCCGAAATGCCGAAATAAAATAATGTGTGTCCAAGAAGTGACTCGAAAATTATGGTCAATCTGTCGATATTTTATTTGACCTAGGCCCATTTTAAGTGTTCATGCCAACCATCACTCATCTTACACATTTTTGGGTCTAACATAATCCATGGCTAAAATTTACGATTAAAGGTGGATTCACACCAAATCAAAATTTTTGGATAGGAAAGGCTACCGATCCGATCAGAAATTCGAGACGCTGGCTTTCGCGGTCTGAATTTCGGTTCGGATCCTATGTGAATGCATCTTAATGCATCAGAGGTTAATCCAACAAAGCTTTAAGATTTCCATAGCTTTTTGAACCATCCTACCATAAAAAAGCGAAATGAAAAATTCCCTACCCTAGAGTTTCGGGATTTTTAGTCAAACGGCCTTAATAGGAAAGCCTGAGTTTCTGTAGCATCCCAATATTTTTTTTCTTTCCTTACCCCTCGGTCACTTGGCCGAGAGGAAGGTTTTTCTGTGATTCTCTTATTATGCCGTGATCCGTGCTCATGGAACTTTTCGGAATTAAATACCTGTTTTGACACCACCATTGTCTGTCTGATTTACTGTCGCAATATATTACTGTACGCTCTCAAGCTAAGGGGTAAAATACTGTATTTTGAAGTCAAGAAACAACGTACAGAATTTGGACAAAGAAGCTTTTTTTTCCGAATTTTATAACTGAATTTGTTGTTTTTTTTACAAGTAATTCTATATAAAGTACCTGTAATTACACGAAAGTTAACAACTACATCTGTAAAGACGTTATCAATATTTTGCCCTATGTGGCCTAATCTAAAACTTGATTGACATTTCACCACGTGTAATCAGCTGGTTGTAAAACACCACTTTTTAGATTAATGCATTAAGTCAAGGTCATCGTCTAGTTGATTGGGATTAATAGTTTTAAAAATGTATATATTTGTGTCAGGTCAAAGGTTGACCAAATTTACTCTGATCATTAATAATAATGATCAGATGGGGTGAGTTAATTTATATTACCGTTCTGATATCAAAATATAGTATGTATTTGTACCCTTCCACTGCTATAGTGAAATGCATATCATCAGAAACAGTTGGAAAATGATGACAATTATAATAATTGGAAGACACATTTCCTAAGAGGTTTAATTACAGCACTTTTTCTGCTCCGGCCCTTGGTACTAGTTTCATCTGAGAAGGGATCTGTGCTGGGCTGGAGGGAAGACGGAATTGATCCAACCTGTGTTCTCCGGACTTAAATCGTAATAACCATGCCGAATTCAATGACCCCGCGATATATGGAGCGGTACACTATAAAAAAAAAACAAAAAAAACAAAAAAAAAAAAAAAAAACACACCCATATTGCTGTTACAAGTTATTATTATTATTATTATTGTTATTATTATTATTATTATTTATTTATTATATTATTATTTATTATTTATTATTGGTGGTCATGTCTAAAAGTTTGTTTACAAACTTATTTTGACCTCCTACCGCACACTTCTTTTCTTTTTTTTTTTTGAAATGTAATTTCAATTGTAATATTTATCGTTGATTAATTTATATTTTATGTGTGTGTGGTAAAAAACAATAAAACAAACAAGTTCATATAACGTTTGACTGATGCTGCTCCTTAGATAATTTTTGTTTTAATTCCCTCTCTAGTTTTCTTGATTTACAAAAACGGAAAAACAAAATTTGGTTAACATTAATTATGTTTTTATGATTAACATAACTGGTACTTTTATATGTATATTATAACAGAGTCCTAACAGTTCGGTGTCCACTACACTAAGCTGAAGTTTCTTAAAATTATAATCTCCATTACCTTAGTTCATATACTTTCATTTCGAATTTGTAAACATGAAAATATAGGCTTCGGCCTTAAAGGCCCATAAATTTAAGTATTGGGCCTAGTAACAGTGCAATCGCGCCTTACTTGCCTACTGTGCAAACACGAGAGCACCCTAGGGCAACGAAGGGGAGCTTGTAAATATAACTCATGTTCCATCAATTAGTAGGAATTTACTATGCTAACATAAACATTGGTTCCTGGTACAAAAACACAAATGTAAATTGGCCGCGTTTGATGTTGACGCTCTGAAGCTTTTCTCACAAATTTCGTAAACGTTGTTCGCGTCGCCTCTAGCCCTTCATGGCTTCAACCTGGTATCGTAAAGTACTAGCCGTCACGACCCCGCTGCTTCGAAGATTACGAAATAAGTTGGATGACCGATTGAAATTTATTTGACAGTAAGAACCACAAACATGTAGAATCAAAATAATCTGTGTGTACATTACACACACTAACTAGCTGACAAAGCTGTTGTGGAGTAAAATATTATGCAATCAATCATCTGTAACATTTGCGTTAGAATTGCAGAATGTAAACGATAATTGTTAATTTTCTAAATTTACCGATTGTTATGTAAATTAACATAATATCTGCATACAACAGTGTAGCTCAATTTTTTTTATTAATGAATTTATAAACGTTTCATGGAGGATAAAGCACCAAAAAAGAGCCAAAATAAACAATAATTGATGACAATGCATCAAATTATTGAACAAATTGGCATTAAGCGTTAATCTGTTGGTCTTTCTAGGTGTAATACTAATCCATCTGCTTTCTATTTTAAAATTTTTCAAAGTGTCCTTGATTTCCAAGTAGAGTACGGTATATATTTTTCATCATTTTTTCTCTTATCTTCCTTTTTTTTATCATCTAAACTTCTTTTCCTTTCTTTTAATCTTATCGTTTCTTTTGTTCCCCTTTCTTTTCATCCTTTCCTTTCCTTTCTGTTTAATGAAAACATAGCAGAGCTCATCATTCGTTTTCTTCTCTTTCTTTTGATTTTTTTTAAATAATTTGTTTCATCTTTTCTTCTCTTTCTTTTGATCTTCTTTCTTTTCTTTTCCCTAAGTTTTAATCTTTTCCTTTCTTTTATTTTTAACATATCAGAACTTATGTATGATAAAATGAATAAAATGGTAAATAAAAAAAGAACTTATCTTACTTTTTTTTCCTTTGATTTCATCTTTTCTTTTCCTTTTCTTCATATTATCTTCTGCGGCGTTTATGAGAGAGTTCGAGAGCTAGACGCTTTTTCGATCGCTTAATAAAGTCAGATTAATATATTTGACTGTATACAAACCAATGCATCTCTTCGAACATACATAATGTGGAACTTTATTGCAACAAGATCTGGGAAGTAATGTAATGTCATATCCAATTGCAGCATAATTGATGGTGAAGTTATAATAAAAATGTTTTACTTGTTTACAGTACAAGCGCCAACAGATGTCGGTGCAAAAGCTACAACCCATCGATGCTGAGACAATACTGCAGTCTTCGTGCCCCAACCCGCTGCCCTGGTGGCACCCACAAAATATCAGATATGTGTCAATGCTGTAAAGTGTGTCCGAAGGTAAGCAAACGCGTCATCAGAACATTTAAAAACATGTTGAAGATGTATATTTGTCCCATAAAAATAAAAACAAAATCAAAATAAAATAATTTTAAAATTAACTTGCTAATATTGCAGTAACATAGCTTAACTTAAACATAAAAAATATTGAATTTAAAAAATGTGTACCCTGATTTTTATGTTTTCTTTGGTATTTATTATGGTACAACACATTTTAAAAGTTATTTTCAATTCCTCTCGAGTGACGTCATGACAATTTATGGTCCTCATTTGTCTTTCTAATGAAATGATATTCCCACTGCAGGCAGTTCGTCTTTGATTGGTTGTACAACAGGGCGTGCCTAGCCTCACTGTACGCACAACTATATCGTTACTGGAGCTGATAGCTTGGTAGTGAAAGGCCAGGTTCACACGAAAGCCCTTGTATCCGGATCGGGAGTTAACCTTTTGCACCCGTGTGTGAACGCCCGATCGGTTAGCGCTAACCGTTACCAGGACCCGGATACGCTAACGGTTAGCGAGCTTTATCGATTAGCAAGTTGAGCACGTTTCTATCATAACCAATAACACGTACGCGTTTTCGATTTCCAGTTTCCTATTGGCCAGTGATTCTATCATCATTTTCTTGGTATCTGGATCGGGGATTGTCTTGTATGAACGCACGGCAGCTAACGGTTACCAGGATCCAGATCCTGCTAACCGTTAGCTGTCGTGTGTGAACATAGCCAAAATGATTGCCTTGCAATCCCAGGGATCAAATCCTGTCGGAACATCAGGATTTGTGTTCACACCCAAAAGCAACTCTACTTCCTAAGACACAAGCATCTGTGGCATTATCAGACAAATAATGCTAGGCCTATCAAAACAACTAAAAATGAAATAAATGTATCAACGTTGTATGGTTTGAGATGGAACTATACACTTAAAGTCAAATATGGATGACTAATAATTTACATGTCACTGTCAATAGTTAGTTTCTGTATACAAACACGTTGTGTCCCAAACTCGTATATGTAGGCCTACAGTACAGTATTATACGTATTCATTTCTATAATAGTAGGGTTAATTATGCCGTTCTAAAAATCTGTTTTTTTTTTAACTAGATGGTCGGCCAGTCATGCATGGGTCCATATGGTGTTCTCGGGGCGTGTAAGTCTGGGTTAACGTGCACATCCAGGAAAGGTCACCCTATTCCATACACATTTGGCTTAACGTCCAGGGGAAGGTGTCGAAATTAAGAAAGGTAAGTCGATAACAACAATAACATATTCTGCTAGCAAATTTAAGAAGATGCGTAGTTGAATTTCTGCAAATAATCGATTAGTGTCATTTTTTTACTTTGGCTTATTGAAATTTGATAACATAAAAGACTCTTTTAAGGTGGCATTTCAGAGGATCAATATTCATTTTTAAAGGTTTTTCTAATTTTGTTACTAGTGTAACTAACACTAGTATATTTAAATACAAAACCGCATAGAATATTTTGAGCTCCCTATTTCCATTGCAACTAGAAAGACCTCCACAGACCTCAGTGAAACAAAAGAGATCTCGTATAGTCTTATCTATAAAGATTTATGTGGCAGAAAAAAAAAAACCCCAGTGGCATAGGATAGACAACAATGACAAAACAAGCAGAAGGAATCTGTCACTTCTGATTGTTTCTGTACTAGCCTACTCAAACGATCTTTTATTTCTAAATTTATTTTCTTCACTCCAGGTTGTCATATTAGATGTCTAGTCTTCAATCTAAGAAAAACACATAGGCCTACGATTTTTGGAGGTACAACTGATGAGAACTGTCATTCGTGGAGAAGAGACCGTGGTGTTAATCACAACGCATAATCGTAACCTGTCTTAGTTACAAATATCAAATTATCAAAGATATTTGTGATACGCAATGGGAGTTTTCAACACAGGTTATATTTCTGTTATAAAATCTAAAAATGGTCATACCGTTTTTGAAAATTCCTTGTGTAAAGACAGTATAGTCAAAGTAATATTCAATATTCAACGAAATATATTTTCAATAGTTCTACCAGTTTTGATAAAAGTTAATCACAATACACAATACACAATACACTTTCAATCAAATGAGAAAGTGAAAATATCAATTTCAACGCTATATGTATTTTTTTCTTTGTATAAATATAGATTTACGAAATTTATTTAATAGATTTGTATCATTATTAAAATTTAATAAACCGTGTTTATCGGGACATAGACTTATAGCCATAGATTTTAATATTGAATGGTACTTGATTGAATGGTTATTCGGGACATTTTTGTAAAGTATGCATCCCTATTAAAGTTTCAGTGTATTCGGAAGGTATCCGCCGAATCGATAGTCATGAGAGTTTAAAACCAGAGTATAGCGAAAGTATATTATTAGAAAATCGTTAAAATGTTGTTTCGGCTACGGTACATCAGTGTAGGACATGGAATACAAAGGTATAAACCCCTGGTTCTTAATAGGCGGCGGGCCAAATTTGGCTCATGGAGCCCTTAAATCCGGCCGTGTACAAACATGAAATTAAAACTACTAATAACAAAATTAAAGTAAATCATTTGATAAATAATGTCTTCATATGTGAAGACAAAAACGCAACCCCTATTGGAAAAAATAATATTAATTAGCATTAGGCAAAAAAGAGCGGAATCTTGTTAGACCTATGTTTAATATATTTGGTCAAGATTTATCCAATGTTTCTATAATTAATTAATTTAAGATAATTATTTAAAATAAAAGAGTTCGTTTTTGTATTAGTTTATCCACAGAGAAATTTCTGTACTTTGGGAAACGGGTCTTTTGTCTTTGGTATCAAAACTGTTGCTTTTCTGTACATGTAATATTATTATAAAATGTGAAAAATGTCTACTAACAACATTTAAAAAAGATCACGCGTGTGAATATGGCTCCTATTGTATAGAAGATATAAAGTGCAAGTTAGGTTTGTAAGCAAGCTTATATAATTAAACACTAGTCTTTGAGATCTAAAACACCTAGTCTTTGAGATCTAAAAAAAAACATGTTAAACAACTACTATCATCAACAAACGCCAGATATTAATTAAGTTCCCCCAGCTATTATTCCCTGGCTACCTTCAAATATTATTTATATATATTTGGATTTTTAAAATTTTTTCTACATAAATTAATTAGTGTCTTGTCTTTGTAAATTTACATCATAAAGGTGTGCCGATGATGCAAAAGCTTTATCCAATCAATTGACTGATTGACTTTTGAAGCATTTGCAATACGGTACTAATTAAGCAAAAGACACATTGTAAAATGTTATTTTAAAATATTTGCATCCAAGCTCACATAAGAAATAGAGGAAGGAAAACAGGAAACTTCTTTTAAACATACCTGCTTCTTTGGCCTTCAAATATCACAAATATTTCCGGCCTAGTCATTCTATATATACACACACACACCCATATTTGCCGACATCAGCTAATACTCAAACAAGGAGCGACAATATTGTTTCTGGTAAGGAGCGACAGAAGGAAGGATGCGAATATTTTATCATTACAGTAGCACGTCTGCTCCTTTACTATACTTTTGCCCTTACGTTCCTATTAGTGATTCTCTTCTACGATTATTACGCCTACTTTCATTTCAAATTCTCGGTTACGGTTGTTGGTAACATAGGTCCATTTCATTAAATATATTTAATTTAATTAATGTTAATTGACTTATTTAACTATCAGTATTAACATTATGTTAATTTACCGTTATATAACTTATGTATATTATATCATTTTGTTAATGTTTGTATTAATAACGTTTTTATGAATGCAATTTCTTATTGTACTGTATTAACATTGTCTTTATCTTGAGGCAGAAACAACTATGGTTTAACAGAATACTGATATATTTTTTTTAATTTAAAGTTTACAAAATTGCAATGTTTGCAGTTCCATAAATATTGTTCTTAGCAAAACGAAAAGTGGAATTTGAAATTACAATTACCAAAAACATTATAACGAGTTGCTTCATGACTCAGATATTATCTTCGGCCCGTGAGATCAACTCAAAAAATATGTTGGCCATTTAAACAAATGAAGAACCACGGGTTTAAACAGGAGTAGGCCTATTCATCCAAGGCTATTCCCAGTATTGGTCCACTATTTACTTTAAATTACGCACATTTTGAATGGAACAGCTTTCACCGAAGATATAAAATAATGCATTTAGGAAAATTAATATAAATGTATTCAATGTTTTAAAATTCATGCAAATATATTATGTTCAAAGTGTTTGAACAAATAGGTTAATGTATGAGACATAGGTCAAGGAGAAAACATTTCTTATAACCGATGTATATTTATGTAAAAATTGAAATAATTAACGGACATAAATAAATTCAATGACATTGTGCTTGCTTATCTGTATATTAAAGGCAAAGCAACTACAGTATATAATGTTTTTTCATTGTTTTTCTTCTGTTTTGGCTATAGTATTTTTGTACAAACAATAAAGTTGAAGCTAACCACATCATTGAGAAACCAGGGAGACATTCAAAATGCAGTTCTCTCTAACACGGGTTTATAAAATTTTGTAAATCAATCATTGAACCTAAATCGTACAATTTAGAGAAAATTGCCTGCAAAGATAAACAAACGTCTTGTTGGTTTTTTGTCTATTCTTTAAAAACATCTTTACAAATTGTGCATCAAAACTTCTAATCTATGTAAAAAGCTCAAAACCTTTGCTTTCAATATATATACGTATTAAACTTAGGCCCAATAAAAAAAAAGTATTAGTTTATCACCCTCTCGCGCATGTATTTTATGGTGCTGGGAAAAAATTTTTTTTTGGAAAAACTTTTTTTTTTTTTACATTTTTTTTAAAATTTATTTTTTTCATTTATTTTATTAAATAGTTAGTAGATATTGTTTGCATTATCTAAATCATGTTTTACTTTGAATATCAATGCACCAGCAAACAACCCAATGGTGATATTTTGCTTTAGCAAAATAAAAAATTTAAAAAAAAGCCTCCCTCCCTCATCACCTCTCCTGCCCAGATAGGGTGATAAACTAATAATATTTTGTATAGGGCCTTATCAGAAACATTTTATCAAAATATAACTTGGCGTACATTCAAACGACTCATTTTGTCAAGACACATCACTTTCGACAGAAAATAGGCTATCCCCAAATATCATTCATGTTACAGACGAAAAACAATTACCTTATTCATAGTAAAAGGTCTGATATATTAATTTTCCAATAATTCACCTACACAATATGGCTTACCAACGGCTTACACATTCCAATAAGATTTTGGATCTTGGCACGGCACTGGTTTTACAAATTACCAGTTTTTGCTGACCTAGTTTTGACCTGGAGAAGGCAACGTCTCAGATTTAGATAGAGCCGAGTCTAAAATCACGATCAGCTTGATTGGTGATAATTTGGCAAAATCAGGCGTATGTCTTAACAATTAATCTTCAGATAAAGCTGAAATGCTAGTCTCATCGTAATACATGTTGCATCGGAAAGTATTCTATATTCTTCGCAATTTGCTATCCGATTTTAACGATTTGTGCATCAATTATCAGAAGGTCTAATAAATAATTGTTCATATTTTGTGGAAAAGGTCCCTTTAGCTAGCTATAAATAGCAAGCATTTAGGGCGACCTTTTAAGAAAGCTTACAAGTTTTGTGCTCCTTTACTTATCTTTGCAAAAAATAGACACAGGCTTTTCGAAACTTTGGACAGATGGAATTAAGTTTTTTTTTTGTCCGTGATGTTTTGTATAATAATATACCATACAGTATGTATGCCGTTAAGCTATAGGGATCCTTTTATGCTAAGTCTTATAAAGGTGTAGGATTTTTCAAAATAACCTATATCGAGTCAATATGAACTGATCCACGTAATTGTATCATAATCTTGGTCTGATATATATGAACGTGTTGGATGATTGTTGCATCTGCGTATGACTTCAAATTCCAGTACTGCAAATTATAACAACCACATTCTTCTAGTTAAAGCAGACAAAATCTATTATAATTTCAACATATTTCAAAGACCTTTGAAACTTCCACACATTCGAGCAAGGACGGGACCAATTACGTAGCACTGTACTATGATTTTAATTATGTAATCTAAATATGACTAACAGATGTTCGTCGTGTTTGTTTTCCAGAATGGAGAAACAGTTTGAATCAATTAATTTCACCAGATGTCATGCACTTCATATCTGACACAATTTTGAGGCATACGGCAATATATTGAGTTTCAAACAAAAGTTTTACGAAAAATGTCGTTCCTTCCACATTTCTATAGCAATATAGGCCTACATATAGTCCTTGTTATAGTAGGGTTTTTTTTTCAATTATGAATTCATAACATCAGGCAAACTGATACATAAAATCTATATCTAGTGTATTGGTGTTGTCATTTACGAAATAAAATGCATCTACTACTCATGCACATAACGATATCTATTGATTCTATGTTAATACTATGAGGATTCAACAGTAACTTGAAATATGCCACATTCCAAATGTTTTCCACAGACTGGGGCGGATGCAGGATTTGGCGGTAAGGGGTGCGTGAGGGTCCACCTCACTGCCACCACCATGGTTGGATCTGAGGAAATAGAAAATTTTGAGAATAGGGACCTCTCAAGCGCGAGTTTTAGCTCGGTTTCCATAGAATCGCTCGCCCTATCGGCGAAAGTCGTGACAGTTGTGGTTCACAGACGAATCGGGGTGCCTTCTCGATTGCGCAGGGCAGCTAGCAATGCACCCTGATTCGTCTGCCTCTGCAACACAATCGGAAAGTTGAACCAGTTTCAACATTCCCGACAACTATCGCTGATAAGGTGAGCGATTCTATGGAAACCTAGCTTTACCCTGACTATCGCACATATGGGGTCCCTGAGTGGGCGGGGTCATGGGAAGAGAACGTAATGTTGCTTGTTCCGTCGCTGGAAGACTATTTTAGATGTGGGGCTGGGTGAGGGGTGGTTTGCGGTAGTTTTGGGGTTCTAGCTTCAGAAAGTTTAGTTTTTTAGATGCTGAGAAATGCACTTCGTGCATTTCCGAGACTTCTATTGATAATTGAATACACACTGAATTCATAGTTTTCCCCCATTTTACCATGGACAATTAATAATTGCGAGGATGAAGATGATGATGATGTGATGATGATAAGGAGGAGGCAACGTAGCAGGTGACAACAGGCTCCTGTGCTAGGTTAATTAACAGGCCCTTTGATTTAAGTGTCAACAGAGTATCCCGAGTTCGTTGTCACATTTTCCAATGCACACAATCGGAGAACAGTAATTATCTACAATTTATATAATCTCGACTGTCATGAAAATATCATATCTAAAAAATTATGCATGCAAAAAAAAAAAAAAATTATGCTCGGAAGCGGAAAGTTTAACCTAAAAGTTTGATATATGTTTCATGTTGTTTGTTGAATGGTCTTTAATATTTATATATATGACCACAACATAAGGGAGAACACTTTGTTACCTAAAAAGTTCAGACCCATATAAATTTATATTTCCTTAGGCCTAAATCATAAGAAAGTCCGCTCTATATCCATTTTCAGGAAATTATACATTTTATGCATGCACCGACGTGGGAATTTTGTTTTATGTTGTTTGTTGAATGGTCTTCTTTAAAAATATTAGTCTAATATGACCACAACATAAGGAAGTCCATTCTTTAAATGTTCAAAAGATAGTACAGAGAATTGATTGTTTATCACAATCATTATACACATGTTAAATCCAATTTCAATAAAAAAAAAAAAAATTAAAAAAAAAGCACGCGCCGACGTGGAATGATTAACCTAATAATCTTGTTAATAATGCGGTTCTAAAATTTTATTTACATAACGAATTCAGCCGTATGTTGCTTTTATACTGACAACTTCTCATTCAAAATTTTTAATTTTTGATTTTATTTACATAACGAATTCAGCCGTATGTTGCTTTCATACATGAAACATGGTGTTTTTGATTTTATAAATAAAAGTAAATCAACAAAGTTTTTTAACTTGTTTTTTATTTCTATGCATTACTGACGCGAAAAGCCGGGGATGGGTGGGTTTTACTATTGTCAAGTTCCTACATTTGTGGTTGTTCTGTCAAATGGAAAACAAAATAATGTTGGATGAATATAATCCAACCTAGGTTTAAATAAACTTAAAATTTATCGGCGACAGAAATTTGTCGGCGACAGTCGCCGACAAGGTGAGCAATTCTATGGAAACCGAGCTTTACCCTGACTATCGCACATATGGGGTCCCTGAGTGGGCGGGGTCATGGGAATTCATAGTTTTCCCTCATTTTACCATGGAAAATTAATAATTGATGATGTGATGATAAGGAGGAGAAGGAGGCATCGTAGCAGGTGACGACAGGCTCCTGTGCAAGGCTAACAGGCCGTTTGATATGAGTGTCAACAGAGGCCCGTATCCCGAGTTCGTCGCAGGGGTGGAGCCAGTGGGGTTCCGGGGAGGAAAAGCACAATTCGTCGGGGAGGAAAAAAAATTATATGTATTTTTTACATATTAGTAGACTCTAAAATCGATTAAATAAGCCTTTGAAACCCCTAAATTGTCAAAATTTCCTGGGGCTTTTCCCCCAGGACCACTTTCAGTACCTTTTAATCGAAGCTCGACTACGCCCACTTTGCTTTCGTCGGACAACGCAATCGAACAACAATCTACAATTTATATAATCAGTAAAAAGTTAAATCCAATTTCAATAAAAAAAAAAAAAAAAATACGTTTTCAGTGCACGCGCCGACGTGAAATGATTAACCTAATAATCTTGTTAATAATGCGGTTCTAAAATTAATCTTTAAAAAAAAAAGCCAAAATTTCAAAATTGAAGAAATTGCGTCTTTCCGAATCACGACAGACTGAGTAGATTAGGCCTACTGGTTAAAATGTAAAAATTTAAAATTTTATTTTTAAATCACAGAAAATCACAAATTTATATTCAGTGCATTCTAGACTGTCTTGGAAATGTGGACCGTATCAAATTTGGTTGGGTGCGTTATACACACACTTAGTAGCACCCCACCTACTGGACGGCCATGGAACCTTTACCTTTCACTTGCCAATTAATGCAGTATTATACGCTTATTAGATATCCAACGCTGTGTGATTTGAAATTTACATAC